ATTCCTTGAGTCTACAGGTCTATGGGACACAGTTTGAGCAATGAGACAAAAGTGTAAGTTTGCTATTTCAGACAGAAGGGAAACACCTTGGCTGACATCAAGGATATGAGGAGAATAAGGGAGACTGAAAAAGTAGTAGGATCAATAAATTGTAGAAATTGATGAGGTCAAAGTCAGGGTACAACATAGAATAGAAAAATCTGGGAAGATATGTTGGTCAGAGGGTGATGCTTTGAATAGAGATTCTGGAAGGATTGCAGCTATTGGTGATTTAAGGTCTAGAGTATGACCATGGAAGTGAGTTCCCCAGGTAGGATGGAAGACAAGATCACAAGTGGCATGAATGTCAAGAAACCGAGGTTGTGAATGTGGATACTGAAATGAGCAAGAATTATGACAGGTATAGTTAGTGCTAGACAAGTGACAATGAGCCAGCAGGCAAAATCTTTTAGAAATGTTGTTGAGACTTTTTATCACGAAGCATGTTGAATTTTATCAAACGTTCTTTTCTGCATCTATTGAAATTATATGACCTTTATCTTTCATTTTATTGATGTGGTATATCACGCTGATTGATTTGCAGATGTTAAACCATCCTTGCCTCCCTGGAATAAATCTCACCTGATCACAGTGTGTGATCCTTTTGATGTATTATTGAATTTGGTTTAATATTTTGTTGAGGATTTTTGTATCTATGTTAATCAGGGATGTTGGCCTGTCATTTTATTTTTTTGTGGCCTCCTTGCCTGGTTTTGGGATCAGGGTAATGTTGGCCTTGAAAAAATATGTTTGGAGGTGTTCCCTTATCTTCTTTTTTTTTTTTTTTGGTAAGAGTCTGAGAAGGATAAGTATTAATGCTTTCAATGTTTGGTAGAATTCACCAATGAAGCCATCTGCTCCTGGACTTTTGTTTGTTGGGAGGTTAATTACTAATTCAATCTCCTTACTAGTAATTTGTGTATTCAGATTATCTATTTCCTCATGATTTGGTCTTGGTAGGTTATATGTTGTTTTTTTTTTTTTAAAGATTTTATTTATTTATTTGACAGAGAGAGACACAGCGAGAGAGGGAAGAGAAGCAGCAGGAGTAGGAGAGAGAGAAGCAGGCCCCCCCGCTGAGCAGGGAGCCCGATGCGGGGCTCAATCCCAGGACGCTGGGATCATGACCTGAGCTGAAGGCAGACACTTAACGACTGAGCCACCCAGGCGCCCCAGTAGGTTATATGTTTTTATGGATTTATCCATTTCTTTTATTTTGTCAAATTTGTTGGCATATAATTATTCATAGTAGTCTCTTATGATCCTTCATATTTCTGTGGTATCAGTTATAACTTCTCCTCTTTCATTTCTAATTTTATTTGAGTCCTCCCTCCTTTCTTGGTGAGTCTAGCTAAAGGTGTGTCAATTTTGTTTATCCTTTTTTAAAGAACCAGCTCTTAGTTTCATTGATCTTTTCTATTTGCCTTTTTAGTCTCTATTTCATTTATTTCTGCTCTGATCTTTGTTATTTCGTTCCTTTTACTAACTTTGGGGTTTTTCTTCTTTTTCTGGTTCCTTGAGGTGTAAAGTTAGGTTGTTTATTTGAGATTTTGCTTGTCTCTTGATATAGGCACTTACTGACAAGAAAACCCCCCACAGCTAATATCATACTTAGTGTGGAGAATCTAAAATGTTTCCCACTAAGATCAAGAACAGGACAAGAATGTTCCCATTCAACACTCTTTTCAACAACACACTGGAAGTTGTAGCTAATGCATTAAGACAGAAAAAGGAAATTAAAAATATACAGGTTGGAAGGAAGAAATAAAACTGTCATTGTTCACAGATGATACAATCATCTATGTAGAAAGTCCTAAAGAACTGACAAAGAATTCCCAGAACTAATAAGCCATCATAGCAAGTTTGCAGGATACAAAGTTAATACAAAAGTCAATCGTTTTCCTATATACCAACAATGAGGAAGTAGAATTTTAAATTAAAACATAATACCATTAGCAACCCCCTAAATGAAATACTTAATTACAGATCTAACAAAATGTGTATGCAATCTATATGAGGAAAACTACAAAACTCTAATGAAAGAAATCAAAGAATAACTAAATAAATGGAAAGATATTCCATGTTCATGGATAGGAAGACTCAACATAGTCAAGATGTCAGTTCTTCCCAGTTTCATCTATAGATTCAATGCAATCTCAGTCACAATCCTAGCAAGTTATTTGGTGCACATTGAAAAACTTATTCTAAACTTTATATGGAGAGGAAAAGACCCAGAATAGCCAACACAATATTGAAGAATAAAAAAGTTGGAGTACTGGCGCACCTGGGTGGCTCAGACAGTTAAGCGTTTGCCTTCGGGTCAGGTCATGAACCCAGGGTCCTGGGATCAAGCCCCACTTTGGGCTTCCTTCTGAGCAGGGAGCCTGCTTCTTCCTCCCCCTCTGCCTGCTGCTCCCCCTGCTTGTACTCTCTCTCTCCGTGTCAAATAAATAAAATCTTAAAAAAAAAAAAAAGTTGGAGTACTGACACTGCTTGACTTCAAGACTTACTATGCTACAGTGTAGCTACAGTGATGAAGACAGTGGAGGTACTGATGAAAGAATAGACAAATAGAAGTGCCTGGGGTGGTGCAGTCGGTTGAGAATCTGACTCTTGGTTTCCACTCAAGTTGTGATCTCAGGGTCCTAGGATCAAGCCCCATGTTGGGCTCCATGCTCTGAGTGCAGTCTGCTTGAGATTCTCTCTCCCTCTGCCTCTCTTGCTTGTTCTGTCTCTCAGATAAATAAATAAATCTTTAAAAAAAAGAATAGACAAATAGATCAATACACCAGGATAGAGCCCATAAATAGACATATAAAAACAGTCAACTGACCTTTGACAAAGGAGGAAAGGCAAAACAATGATTCAGAAATAGTCTTTTCAACAAATGTTTCTGGAACAATTGGATGTCCTGATGCAAAAAAAAAAGGAGAATCTAGACACAGAACTTGCATCCTTCACATAAATTAACTCAAAATGGATCAAAGACTTAATTGTAAAATCCAAATGTAAAACTCCTAGAAGATAATACAGGGGAAAATCTAGATGATCTTGAAGATGGCTGTGCCTTTGTAGATACAACACCAAGGGCATGATCCCTGAAAGAAATAGTTGACAAACTGGACTTCATTAAAACTTCTGCTCTGCAAAAGACAACCTCAAGACAAATGGGAAGATAAGCCACAGGCTGGGAGAAAACATTTGCAAAAGACCCATCTGATAAAGGACCTTTATCCAAAATATGCAAAGAACTCTCAACACTCAACAGGAAGACAAACAATCCAATTAAAAAGTGGGTCAAAGACTTTGACACCTCACCAAAGAAGATATACACATTAAGCATATGAAAAGATACTCTACATCATATGTCACCAGGGAAATATAAAGCAAAAGATTACTTTATTTTTTCTAATCAAAATCCCATTAATAACTAAAAAAAAGTGGTATATCCATACAATGTAAGTACTAGTAACATTAAAAAGAAATAAACCAGAAGTAATTAGTAGATTTATGCAACAATAAGGATGAATTTCACAAGTATTATGCTAAGTGTAAGAATTGAGACAAAAATTTTATGATCCTACTGGTATGGCATACTGCAAAAGAAAAAAAACTATAGGAAAAGAAATAAGATGCATGGTTGCCAAAGGCTGGGAGCAGGTTGAGTGGATTGACGATGTAGTGGCACCAAGGATCTGTTTTTGTTAGGCAAAGGTTTTGTTTCTAAATAGGACAATTAACTAGTTAAAGATCAATTTCTAAAGGGTAAAAATGAAACAGAGAAAGCACTTCATGGAATAATTGGCAGAAGATAATATAAAGGTCTTAATTCCTTCCATATTACAATGTTTTATCTCTATCAATACAGTTCCTTCCATTTGCCTTATGACTCACGTTTCATAATCAGCAATTAAATTGAAGGAAATGTGGGATACATTTGTTGCTTCTGCTTTAAGGCCTGATCAATGGTTGCCTCTGTTTCTTGTGGATTCTTGGCATCCACGTCCATTCTTGTGGATCTTGGGATGAATAGTTCAGGGTACGGAGCACTGTGAGTTCTAGGTGCATGCATGCCCATAAAAAAAAAAAAAAGGCAATCCAGTAAAAGTAAGGTTGAGACTCTATATTTGTCAAATTTGGTACTCAGTACAGGTCAGCACAATTTCCTTATAGTATCTGCATTCCGCCCCTCCCAAACCCCGCATCCATCGCTTCCTTTCTATAATCTATTTTCCTTCCTTCCCTTTCCTCTTTCTCATATTTCAAGGTTCTCTAGTCTCTATAACGTAGTTTCTTAGAATAGGTGGATAGTTTGCTTCGGTTGAGTTCTTTGTTTTTGTTTTTGTTTTTTTTGTCTTAGTTTTTGTCACGTTTGGAAGAAAAAATTTCAAGAAAACGACGGGGGAGGGGGCGGCCAAGCTCGACTAACCGTACAGAATTAAGTCAGGCTGACTATCCAAAAGAGAATACCGACTATCTAAACACTGACTGTCCCAAAAAGAGAAGAGCCTTCAGGAAAGGACCACTCCGCAGGAGATTCCGGGATTTGTAGTCCACAAGGTCAGACGCATTACGCTCCTGAAAGACGCCCTCCGGAAAGATGCCCTGAAGGCATCGTTGGCTGGAGAAAATACAGAAGTACATAAAAGAGCTCTATACACTTGGCAGCATTTCGGGGTTCCGGAATTCGCTCCGGACCCGCACGCTTTTTTTTTTTTTTTTTTTTAGATTTATTTATTCTGAGAGAGAATAGAGAGTACATGAGAGTGGGTAGGATTAGAGGGAGAAGCAGGCCCCTCGCCGAGCGGGGAGCCCGTGCGGGACTCAATCCCGGGACTCCAGGATCATGACCTGAGCCGAAGGCAGTCGCTTAACCAACTGAGCCACCCAGGCGCCCGGGACCCAGCCGCTTTTAAATACAATCCAGCCTCTCAGTGCGACAGCCAACACTTCCGCCCTAGGAAGGCGACGGAGTGGCCTGGGAATTCTGGGAAGTGTAGTCCGGGAACACAGTGCCGCAGGATAACTTCCGCTGCAGGAGGCCGAGGCTGCGTCCCTGCTCCCGTCGGGAATTCTGGGAAGCGTAGTCCAAGAGCTCCCTGTCGGCAGAGTCGCTTCCGCTCCAGGTACGCGAGGCCGCGGCCTTCATTACTCTGCGAAAGGTGAGCCCTCCCTCCCCCGGCGGCCTCCTGGCGGCCGCACTGACTTGGCCTCACTTTGCGGTGGGCCCGTGGTCATCAGGCACTGAACCCTGGGGAAGACAATCCGCCAGCGGCGAAGGGCGGGGTTTGTGTTCCGTCTGAATGAGCTCTGTGGAGTGCGGGGCGGTGAGTGCATACCGGGCTCGGGGCCCGGGCCAGGTTCCCAGGTCGCTGGGAGTGAGGGTCTCCTGGGTTCTGCATTTCCCCGACCCTTTCCCCTACCACCAGCCAGTGCTGCCGCTTCCCAGCCGTATAATATTCGGAGAATTCGTGTCTCTGCCTCATTCCTCTTCTTTAAGTTGGTATTAGTGTCTACCTAATAGAGTTATTTTGAGAGTTAAATGAGGATGTAGAAGAGAAAGACTTAAAAGTCAGGCTTGGGGTAAAAAAAAAAATAGGTCTCTTAATAGCAGTACTTTGTAATTTCTGGAGAAGCGCTTAGTTCCCTGAAAGCATCTGTGAACCTGGGATGGGGTCAGAGCTCCTGCTGCAGTGTCCTGAAGGAGGGGAGGCTGCACCCAGATTCCCATTTTTTTTTTAATCTAAATTTAAGTTTTTGTAGAGGGTCATTCCTGGGTGTTGTCTGGGATGTCCACTGTAATTTATGCAGGAGTTCTAATGAAGCTGTGATTTCTCTCAGCCTCCTGTCCTTCCCCAGCCTGGACTTCTTGAAAAATGCTGCTGGGAGGAGGGAATGGTGCTTTGGCTTCTGGAGGCAGAGGCTCGTCTGAGTAGGTCTTAGCATCTCTCTTCCTCTTATGTTATCTCCTCTCAGGGAAGAAGATATTTCCTTAACTCATCTGCAAGTTCTTCTACCGGGAAGATGCCCTGACTTTTGTTGAATAAATAAATACAGAAAGGGATGGGGGAGTACTTGGGCATGAATAATAACAATTATATTTACTTTTTTAAAGCTTTTATTTAAATTCCAGTTAGTTAACCCAGAGCGTAATATTAGTTTCAGGTGTACAATATAGTGATTCAACAGTTCTATACATCACCCGGTGCTCGTCACAAATGCACTCCTTAATCCCCATCTCCTATGTCACCCATCCCTCCACCCACCTCCATTCTGGTAACCATCAGTTTGTTCTATATAGTTGAGAGTCTGTTTCTTGGTTTGCCTTTCCCTCTTTTTTCCTTTGCTAGTTTGTTTTATTTCTTTAATTCCACATATGAGGGAAATCATATGGTATTTATCTTTCTCTGACTGACTTACTGCACTTAGCATAGTACTCTGTAGCTCCATCCACATCGTTGCAAATGGCAATGTTTCATTCTTTTTTATGGCTGAGTAACACTCCCATTGTGTATATATACCATATCTTCCTTATCCATTCGTCAGTCCTTGAGCACTTGGGCTGTTTCCATAATTTGGCTATTGTAGATCAATGCTGCCATAAACATTGATCGGTGTCCATGTTCCCCTTTGAATCACTATTTTTGTATCCTTTGTGTAAATATCTAGTAGTGCAATTGCTAGATCATAGGGTAGTTCTGTTTTTAACTTTTTGAGGAATCTCCATATATTTTCCACATTGGTTGCACTAGTCTGCTTTCCCACCAACAGTGTAAGAGGGTTCCCCTTTCTCCACTTCCTCGCCAACAATTGTTTCTTGTGTTGTTGATTTTAGCCATTCTGACAGATGTGAGGTGATATCTCATTGTAAGTTTTGATTTGCATTTCCCTGATAATAAGTGATGTTGAGCATCTGGATGTCTTATGTGGAGACAGGTCTGTTCGTGTCTTCTGCCCATTTTTTAACTGTATTATTTTGGGGGGTGTTGATTGTGTAAGTTCTTTATATATTTGGATACCAACCCTTTATCAGATATGTCATTTGCAAATACCTTCTCCCATTCCATAGGTTGCCTTTTAGTTTTGTTGATTGTTTCCTTCACTGTGCAGAAGCTTTTTATTTTGATGTAATCCCAATAGTTTATTTTTGTTCTTGTTTCCCTTGCCTCAGGAGACATATCTAGAAAGAAGTTGCTATGGCCAATGTCAAAGAGATTACTGCTCCTGTTCTCCTCTAGAATTTTGATGGTTTCCTGCCTCACATTTAGGTCTTACATCCATTTTGGATTTATTTTTGTGTGTGGTGTAAGAAAGTGGTCCAGTTTCATTCTTTTGCATGGTGCTGTCCAGTTTTCCCAACACCATTTGTTGAAAAGACAGTCTTTCTTCCATTGGATATGTTTTCGTGTTTTGTCTAAGGTTAATTGACCATATAGTTGTGGGTCCAATTCTGGGTTTTCTAGTGTGTTCCACTGATATATGTGTCTGTTTTTGTGCCGTACCATACTGTTTTGATCTCTTTACTTTTGTAATATAACTTGAAGTCTGGAATTGTGTTGCCTCCAGCTTTGCTTTCTTTTTCAAGGTTGCTTTGGCTATTTGGGTTTTTTTGTGGTTCCATACAAATTTTAGGATTGTTTGTTCTAGGTCTGTGAAAAATACTGTTGGCATTTTAATCAGGATTGCATTAAATGCGTAGATTGCTTTGGGTAGTGTAGAAATTTTAACAATATTTGTTCTTCCAGTCCACGAACACTCCATGAACATGGAGTGTCTTTCCATTCCTTTGTTTCCTCTTCAATTTCTTTCATCAGTTTTTTTCTAGTTTTCAGAGTACAGGTCTTTCACCTCTTTGGTTAGATTTTTTCCTAGGTATTTTATGGTGTTTGGTGCAGTTGCAAATGGGATCGATGCCTTGATTTCTCTTTCTGCTGTTTCATTCACCCCCCTCGCCTCTAAAACCCTCAGTTTATTTCTCAGAGTCCATAGTCTCTCATGGTTCATCTCTCCTTCCGATTTCCTCCCCTTCAATTCCTTCTCCTAATGTCCTCCATGCTATTCCTTATGTTCCACAAATAAGTGAAACCATATGATAATTGACTTTCTCTCCTTGACTTATTTCTCTTAGCATAATCTCCTCCAGTCTCATCCATGTTGATGTAAAAGTTGGGTACTCATCCTTTCTGATGGCTGAGTAATATTCCATTATATATATGGACCACATCTTCTTTACCCATTCATCTGTTGAAGGGCATCTCGGCTCTTTCCACAGTTTGGCTATCGTGGACATTGCTGCCATGAACATTGGGGTGCATATGGCCCTTCTTTTCACTACATCTGTGTCTTTGGGGTAAATACCCAGTAGTACAATTGTTGGGTCATAGGGTAGCTCTATTTTTAATTTTTTGAGGAATCTCCACACTGTTTTCCAAAGTGGCTGTACAAACTTGCATTCCTACCAACAGTGTAAGAGGGTTCCCCTCTCTCCACAACCTCTCCAACATTTGTTGTTTCTTGCCTTGTCAATTTTTGCCATTCTAACTGGTGTAAGGTGATATCTCAATGTGGTTTTGATTTGAATTTCCCTGATGGCTAATGATGATGAACATTTTTTCATGTTTCTGTTAGCCATTTGTATGTCTTCTTTTGAGAAGTGTCTGCTATAATCTTTATTATTTTCTTCCTTCTGCTGGCTTTAAGCTTTGTTGTTCTTTTTCTAGCTCCTTTAGATGTAAGTTAGGTTGTTTATTTGAGATTTTTCTTGCTCCTTGAGGTAGGCCTTTATTGCTATATACTTCCCTCTTAGGACAGCTTTTGATGCATCCTAAAGGTTTTAGACCATCATGTTTTCACTTTTGTCTCCATGTATTCTTTAACTTCTTTATTTCCTGGTTGACCCATTCATTGTTTAGTAGCATGTTATTTAACCTCCATGTATTTGTGGTCTCTCCAGATTTATTCTTGTGGTTGACTTCAAGTCTCATAGTGTTGTAGTCAGAAAATATGCATAGTATAATCTCAGTGTTTTTGTATTTGTTGAGGGCTGATTTGTGACCTAATATATGATCTATTCTGGAGAATATTCCATGTGCATTTGTAATGAATATGTATTCTGCCGTTTTAGGATGGAATGTTCTGACTATACTTGTTGAGTTCATCTGGTCCAGTGTGTCATTCAAGCCATTGTTTCCTTGTTGATTTTCTGCTTAGATGATCTGTCTATTGATATAAGTGGGGTGTTAAAGTCCCCTACTATTATTATACTATTATCATACAGTTCCTTTATGTTTGTTATTAACTGTTTTATATATTTGAGTGCTCCCATGTTGGGGGTATAAATATTTACAATTGTTAATATCTTCTTATTGGACTGTCCCCTTTATTATATAGTGTCCTTCTTTGTCTCTTGTTACAGTCTTTGTTTTAAAGTTTAGTTTGTCTAATGTAAGTATTGCTACTCCGGTTTTCTTTTGACATCCACTTGCATGGTAAATATTTCTCCGTCCCTCACTGTCCATCTACAGGTGTTATTAGGTTGAAAATGAGTCTCTTGTAGGCAGCATATAGATGGGTCTTTTTTTTTTTTTATCCATTCTGACACCCTAAGTTTTTTTTATTGGTGCGTTTAGTCCATTTACAGTCAAAGTAATTATCGATAGATATGTATTTATTGACATTTTATTACTTATTTTGTGATTGTTTCTGGAGATTTTCTCTGATTCTTTCTTGTCTTTCTCTCTTTCATGGTTTGCTTATTTTCCTTAGTGATATATTTGGATTTCTTTCTCTTTATTTTCTGCCTGTTTATTGGTGGTTTTTGATATAGGGTTGCCATTAGTTTTGTATATAACCTCTTCTGCATATAGCAGTCTATATTAACTAGATGGTTAAGTTTGAACACATTCTTTTCTCCTCTCTTCCCCATGCTTTTTTTGTATGTGTGTGTTCCTTGACTGATTTTTTTTTTTTTTACAGAAATACTCATTTTTACTGCTTTTGTTTTTCCTACATTCATATTGTCACTTTTGGTCTCTCCTTTCCATTCAAAGAGTTCCCTTTAATATTTCTTGCTGGACTGATTTAGTGGTCACAACTCCTTTAGTTTTTGTTTTTCTGGGAAGCTCTTTATCTCTCCTTTTATTCTGAATGATAGCCTTGCTGG